TCAAGCCTAGCACTCTACCACTTGAGCCATAGCATCACTTTGGCTTTTTCTGCTTATGTGGTGCTAAGGAATTGAACCCAGGGCCTCATGCATGCAAGGCAAGCACTCTACCACTGAAGCCACCTTCCCAGCCTCTGCATAGTATTTTTTAAAATTTATCTTTTTAAAATTTTATTTTTATCTGTTAGTACTTGCATTGTTGAGATATTAACATTTGTTTTTCATGGTAAGTCTTTAAAATCCTACTTGTGACACTTCTCAGTTTGGAATAGTTTCATTTCAAATGTATAGAAACCACATGTAGCTATTGTACAGGGCAAAACAACACTCTCATATGACTGCTAAAAGAATAGTAAAGTTAGAATTATGTATTGTCAGATACATGCAAAAACAAGATGGAATAATAAAAATAGTCCATTTACAAGATATAAGAAAGATGATAAGCCGGGTTCTGGTGACTCATGCCTGTAATCTTAGCTACTCAGGAGGCTGAGATCTGAGGATCACGGTTCACAAAGCCAGCCTGGGATGGAAAAGTGTGTGAGAATCTTTATCTCCAATAAACCACCAGAAAACTGGAAATGGCGCTGTGGCTCATGTGGTGGAGTGCTCCCCTTGAGCTGAATCCCTGAGGGACAGCACCCAGGCCTGGAGGTCATGTCCCACGACTGACACTCCCCCCCCCCCAAAAAAAAAGATGATAATAAGGAACATAAAGTTTCCTTTGAAAGAAACCTTTCAAAGTGAGATGGCCTCATCATCTCACTTGGCTTTCTTGTTCATGGTTGGTGCTTTACCACATAAGTCACATCTGTGGCTATGCTTTTTGCTAGCTACTTTGTAGATGGAATCTTGTAAAATTTTTCTGGGGGCTGGGAAGGTGGCTCAGTGGTAGAGCGCTCGCCTTGTATGCCTGAGGCCCTGGGTTTGATTCCTTAGCACCACATAAGCAAAAAAAAAAAAAAGCAGGAAGTGGTGCTGTGGATCAAGTGGTAGAGTGCTAGCCTTGAGCTGAAGAGCTGAGGGACAGAGCCCAGGCCTAGAGTTCAGGCCCCATGACTGGACCCAAAAAAAAAAATTTTTTTTTTTTTTCTGCCCTGGCTGGCTTGGAGTCATGGCTTTCCAGGTCTCAGCTTCCTAAATAGCTAGGATTATGGATGAGAGCTATTGTCTGGTTAACTTTCTCATCTTTAAAAACAAAAGGTCAATAAAACAAAAAAACTCAGATTTTCCCTGTGTATCCTAGGATAATCTCAAGCTTTCTGTCTTGTATCAACCTGAACTGTTGGGATCACAGGGGTGTGTCAGGATACCCAGATCCTGGTGGTTTTATTTATTTAATTTTTTTTGTCAGTCATGGGCTTTGAATATGGGTCCTGCATGCTGTCCATGAGTTCTTCTGCTCAAAGGTAGTGCTCTACCACTTTGAGCCACAGTGTCACTTTCAATTTTTAGATGAGTCCTACTGACTTGGTTGTTTCTGCTGACTTTGAACCATGATCCTCAGATATCAGCCTCCTGAATAGCTAGGATTAAAGGTGTGAGCCACAAGTGCATGGCCCTGGTGGTTTTATAAGGGTTCTAAAATGTACTGAAAATAAATACCAGAGGCTTTGGCAGGAGCAGAATGAGCATGCCTGTAATCTAACTCCTTATCAGGCTGAGATCTGAGAATCATGGTTTGAAGCCCAACCAGGCAGAAAAGTCCCTGAGAGTCCTATCTCCAATTAACTAGCAAACTATCCAGAAGTAGATGGGTAACTCAAGCCTGGGCTGGCTATGAACCGAGATCCTTAGATCTCAGCCTCCTGAGTAGCTAGGATTACAGGTGTGAGCCACTGGCTCCCAGCTTGATATTTTGAATGTGCATGTGAAACATTTGTCATACATAGATCAAGAAAATAAGCTTTGTTCTGCTTTGAGAGCAGAACAGAGAAGAGGGTCATCTTCAGGCCAATAAAAGCTTCCTTGAATAGATGGGGCTGGGAAAGTGGCTCAGTGGTAGAGCACTTGGCTCGCACGCATGAAGCCCTTGGCTCGATTCCTCAGTACCCCATAAGCAGAAAAAGCCAGAAGTGGCGCTGTGGCTCAAATGGTAGAGCGCTTGCCTTGAGCTGAAGAGCTGAGGGTCAGCCCCTAGGCCCAGAGTTTAAGCCCCAAGACTGACCCCCCCCCAAAAAAAAATGATGTCTGAAAGTGTTACCATATCAGGCAAATGGAGAAGGAATATTTAGGACACATTAACAATATGTGTTATAAAAACTTGAGAAACTAGATTATTGGAGAAATTATGTAGTTTTCATGAGATAAGGAGAGGTAGAAGAAAGGGAAGCATTTATTGGAAACCCTTTATAGCATGTTAAAAGTAAAAAAAAGGATTATTTCTCCTTGCCTCTAATCCAGGCACTCAGAAGGTAGAGGTAGGATAGAGTCTGCTGCCAGGTTGCAAGACCCTGTCTCCAAAAACAGAAACCCAAACAAAAGTCAAATAACAAGGAATATTTCTGATTTTTCAAGTAACACAGACAGGTTTTAATTGTATTTATTTTGTGTGTGTGTTGCTACTGGGGTTTAAATAAACTCTTTTTTATTTCAAGTCTAGCACTTTACCACTTGAGCCATACTTCCACTTCCAGCTTTTTACTGGTATTTAGAAATGAGAATTCCACAAACTGTTCCACTCTGGCTGGTTCTGAACTGGGATCCTCTGATCTCAGCCACCTGAGTAAGCTAAGGAATATAGGTATGATCCACAAAGCCCTTCTCTACCTTGATCTGTTAATATGTTTTGTTTACTTTTTGTGATGACTTTTTGGTCTTGGTGAATTGTCACAGAATGTGAAAGCAAATTTAGGAAGTGTAAATACTTTTCATGTTGTATCTTTTTTTCTTACCTTATATTATGCTTGCCTGTGAAGGTACAGAATAGTTTAACCTAACCCACAGATATTTGCTCACCTGTTATAAATATATTACTGTTTCACATTGTACATGTTTCAGTAGAACATGGTAGAAAAATTTTGTTTTGCTGAATTCCTGATGCAAAAAATTCAGTATTTTAGCATACAGGAATTTTCTTTCGTATATTTGGAAGATAGATACTTGATTTTAACACGTGAAAAAAGCTTACCAGCTTTGTACATAAAATGCCTGGAATGAAATTGCCCTTTTTCTTCATTATTCTAAATTTGGTTTATAATCAACATTTCTAAAACAATACTTTTTTCACTTCCCTTTTTTTTCTTTTTTTGTTTCCTTTTTGTTGGGTCTTGGCGCTTGAATCCTAGGCCTGGGTGCTGTCCCTCAGCTTTTCAGCTCAAGGTTAGCCCTCTACCACTTGAGCCACAGGGCCACTTCTGGTTTTTCTGGTGGCTTATTGAGATAAGAGTCTCACTGACTTTTCTGTCCCAGCCTGTCTTTGAACCGTGATCCTCAGATCTCAGCCTCCTGAGTAGCTAGGATTACAGGTGTGAGCCACCGGTGCCTGGCTATTTTGGAAGGTTTTATTGAGCTGAAATACTTGGGGGAGATTTTACATGTTCTAGAAAGAAACAGTTTAAGTCTATTGATGTTTATCATATGATCATTTATAATGGTTAGCTCATTTTATTGACCAGAATTCTTGATGTGCTTACTTCTGTATTTACGTAAAATTTACTAAGTTTTATTTAAAATTAACTACTTTCAGTGTTTTTGTGCTGTTTCTGGAGCTTGAACTCAAGTCAGTCTGGGCACTGTCCCTGAACTTTTGCTCCAGGCTAGCACTCTACCACTTGAGCCATAGAGCTACTTCGTATGCTTTTCTGTGTATGTGTCACTAAGGCATCAGATCCTGGGCTTCATGCATGCTAGGCAAGCACTCTACCACAAAGTCACATTCCCAGCCCAGCTTGTCTGTTTTTGTTTTGTTTTGTTTGTTTTTTGGTCTGGTAGTGGGGCCTGAACTCTGGGCCTGGGCGCTGTCCCTCAGCTCTTCAGCTCAAGGCTAGTGCTGTACCATTTGAGCCACAGTGCCACTTCTGGCTTTTTTCTTTTTGCTTATGTGGTGCTGAGAAATTGAACCCAGGGCCTCATGCATGCAAGGCAAGCGCTCTACCACTGAGCTACCTTCCCAGCCCTTTGTTTTGTTTTTGTTTTTGTTGGCTGGGAGGCTTGAACTCTGGGCCTGGGCTCTGTCCCTGAGCTCTTCAGCTCAAGGCTAGTGCTTTACCACTTGAACCACAGAGCCACTTCTGCTTTTTTTTGGTGGTTTATTGGAGATGAGAGTCTCACAGACTTTTCTGCCCAGGCTGGCTTTGAAACCGGGATCCTTATTATCTCAGCCTCCTGTGTAGCTAGGATTACAGATGTGAGCCACCAACGTCCGGCTGGCTTATCAGTTTTTAACAAATGAATTATCAAGAACATTTTAGTCTCTAAGCATTGTCTGTTACCATTTTGAATTAATTATTGGGTGATATTGATTACAGCATACAGTCCAAAGTGCATACCTTTTAAGTAATCTTTGCCTTTAGTTTCATCTTTGTAGTATCTGTTTCTTATGTATGTGTTTTGGTGTTTTTGTATTTGTTTAAAGCTGGGATACTAGTTAGTATTGCTTTTGTTTACAGACATACACATTTCTAATAGCAGAAAAAAAATTCTGGACTGGATCTTAATGCTCTCTGTAGTCAAGGATGTGCATATTTAAATAGTTTGCAAAAAGTGGAAAATGGTGGTTTTATTTTAGACTCTATTTAGGGAAGATCTCAAAGATACAGTGAATGAATTTTTAAAAAAATTTTCATGGCGTCATGGAGGAATGTAGGGTACTGAGAAACTCTGGCATACTAGGACTTTGAATTTGCATCCTATAAGCAGTATTTTTATACAGTAATTTTTACAATCATGTTACTTTTGCTTAAAATTGTTCTGTGAAATTTTGTAAGAAGTTAAAACCACACTTAAGTAAAATTGGTTACATTCTATTTTCTAATTTATTTATTTATTTTTAATTTTAGGAAATACTCCTTTACATCTTGCTGTGATGTTAGGAAATAAAGGTTAGTAAATTTTTTTTATGTTTAACTTTGCTTATTACATGTATAGTGAGTTTAAAAATGTCAGGATGAGTCTTATCATTTGTGTTTTATAAAGCTTACCTCATTTGTAATTGAATTTAGGATTTAGTATACTAATATTAATAAATGTTTTCTCTTTTTTTTTCCCATAGCCTCCTTCTGAAGAGAGCTAAGGGAAATCCTGTACTAATCTTACGTCATTTAAAACTTTTTCTCCCTTAGTTTGTTTTTTTCTAGTCTTGGGGCTTGAACTCAGGGCCTGGGCACTGTCCCTGAGCTTCTTTTGCTCAAGGCTTGCACTCTGCCATTTGAGCCACAGTGCCACTTCCAGCTTTTTCTGTGTATGTGGTACTGAGGAATGGAACCCAGGACTTCTTGCATTCTAGGCAAGCACTCTAGCACTAAGCCACATTCCCAGCCTCAGTTGAATATTTGATTTAGCAAATATTTATTTTAGAAGGTTTATTTCTAATTACTAAGGTTTACTAATGTAATGCTTATGAGAACTATCACTTTTAATATGTTTTACATAACTAAATTTTAAAGTCTATTTTGATGCAACTATTGGTTGAACTCATGCCTACTAAGCAAGCATTCTACTACTTGTACTGAGACCCTAGCCTTTTTGTTTTTCAGTTATTTTTCAGATAGGGTCTTTTTGCTCAAGGCTGATTTAAGACTGGGATTATCTTATCTACAGCTCTACCATTGCTTGGATTACTGGGATGATTCGTGTGTCCAGCTTTACTTGTAGAGATTAAAATCTCACCAGTGTTTTTACCTAGGCTGACTTTGAGCCTCAGTCCTGCCAATCTGTTTCCCAAGGGACTGGGATTATAGGTATAAACCACCATACCTGGTAATAAAGTCTTTTACATGATACATAATTATAATAGCACGATTACTTTTTTATTCCCTCCTCTACCAGTTGAGCCACACCTCCAGTCCAGAATTTGTTAGTTTGGAGATAGACTCTTGTGAACTTTTCTGCCCAGGCTTGCTTCAAGCTGTGATGCACAGCTATGTAGGCTTCCTGAGTATCAAGAATGAGTCACTGATTTCTGGCTTTGTATTGGGGTTTGAACTCAAGGCCTTGTGCTTGTTAGGTAAGCACTCCACCACTGGAGTCATACCCATAGTTTATTTTACAAGACTTAGTTTTTAGAGTATCTTCTATTTTGCTCTGGGCTAGCTCTTGTTCATCATCTAATCCTGCAAGATCTTCCTACCACTGCTTCCAGAACAACTGGGATTTTAAATCTGTAGCACTGTTCACTCCCAGCTACATTTTAAAAATTTAAATATATTCCATAATTTTGTTTGTGTGTGTGTGTGTCTATGTGTGTGTGTGTGCACATGCGTTTGCTAATCCTGTGCCTTAAACTGAGGTCTAAGGTCTCTGAGCTTTTTTACTCAAGGCTAGCACTCTGTAACTTGAGCCACAGTTCCATTTCTGGCTTTTGGGGGGGTTAATTGGAGATAAGGGTCTTACAGAATTTCCTGCCTCAGCTAGTTTTGAACTGCAATCCTCAGCTCTCAATTATGAGTACAAGCCATCTTTGATCAGTGTTGCTCCTTTCATCCTCCTCCATCTTTCCCAATCTAACTCATCTCCTCAATTTACTGGGTTCCATTTTTGTATATGTACTTTGAATATTATGTATCCTCTTACTTTATCTCTCTCCATTAATCTGTCCTCCCCTATCCCCTTGATCTCGTGTTTCTATTTTTTTTAAACATTTTCTCAACCTTTAGAAGGGTCTATAAGTTGGATTTCTTTTGATTACTTGGAAGACTGTTCAGATTTTATTTGGAGGGATTTTATTTGGAGGGAGAGTTTTTTCAACTGAAAGAATTACAAAATTTGAAAAATAAGGGTTTATGGAAACATTACAGGTCCTTTTTTGAAGATACATTTTTTTCCCCCTAAAATAAGGATTTTCCATTAGATATTACAGGTATACATGTAAACTAATCTCAAAGTTCCTAGCTTTTAGCTTATAGACACATTCTTAAAATGTTCTTGGACACAATTAATAGTGAATATAATGTTTCTTGTGTACAGAGATTTCACTTTATTGTTAGGTAGGGTGATGCTTTTCAATCATTTGATCTGAAATGATCTGGTTTTGTTTAATTATATGTAGGACAGTATTACACTAATTTGATTTATTAAGCTTTTATATGATATTTATATTTAAGAGATTCCAAAAATTACATATTTCATAATAGTGTTGTTTATGTTATTTTTATTGCAGAATGTGCCCATTTACTTTTGGCTCACAATGCTCCAGTAAAGGTGAAAAATGCTCAGGGATGGAGCCCTCTGGCAGAAGCCATCAGCTATGGAGATAGACAGATGAGTAAGCAATATGAATTACTGTTGTTGATAAACAATCTACAAAGTGATGTGTTGGAAATAATTTTTACTAAGTATAAATTCCTATACTAAATTTTGCAATTTTATATATATATATAAGCTTCTGTATAGATTATTTACAACTTAGGAACTTGCATATTGAACAGTACAAAAATTGAAGGGTCATGTTTAAAAGTATGTGTTTTTCTTTTCCTTGTAGTATTCTACCTTCCTTATTGGTAGTTGAATTTCTGTTTTTGGTTGTCAGTGATAGGGCTTGAAATCAGAGCTTTATTTATTTTTTTTATTTTTTTAAATTTTGGCTCCAACCTGGCACTTTATCTGCTTCTTTTAATGGCTAATTTGGAAATTAGTTTTTTGTATTTTTCTTCTGAGGGGATCTTTGAACCATGATCCTCTGATCTAAGCCTTGTGACTAGCTAGAATTATAGCCATGAACCATCAGCACCTACCTGGTCCTTCTTTTTTTCCTTTTTAATGGTAGTCCGGATTGTAATTTCTGGCAAACTGTTTAACTGTTTGTATTATTAATTGGAGTTAAAAATAATCATGTTGTAATAATGATTATCTACTTTAGCTGGTAGCAGGCTTTGCTGGAAGGGAGCAAGACTTTCGTCTTAAAATGAGTACATTGAAAAACATGGCACAGACTGTTTCATAATATAGAAAATGTTCACTTATTCTACTCCCTTCCTCTTACAAATAAATTTTCTTTTTAACTTTCTGTATGGGTCTTATTTTTGTCAAGTACATCTACTGGATAATTACAAAAAGTTGACTTTAGATAAAGCACAAACTGTGTTGTTTCTTTACAGTTCTAGGCATGATTAACTTTATAAACATAGCTTTGTAGAAGGGAATAAAATAGTTTTATTAGGAAATTGCACATCATGGATATTTCCAGGATGTTAGATGGATTCATTTTTATTTTTTAAAACCTTTTTTCTGTTGGTCATGGGGCTTGAACTCTGGCTGGGCCTGGACTCTGTCCCTGAGCTCTTCAGTTCAAGGCTAGTGCTGTACCACTTGAGCCACAGTGCCACTTCGTTTTCTGGTAGTTTATTGGATGTAAGAGTCTCACAGACTTTCCTGCCCAGGCTAGCTTTGAACTGTGATCCTCATAACTCAGCTTCCTGAGTAGCTAGGATAACAGGTGTGAGCCACCGGTGCCCAGCTTCAAGCTTATTTTGATGCTAAGTTTTGGGTTCTTCTGAATACTTTTGTGTGATTTAGCTCCATATGTAAACCACAGATTATATATATTTGTTGGTTTCCTGAGTTCCTCATACAACTTTTAATGAT